TGTGGCTTTATTATGGAACGATATTTAAAATTTAAATGAAAGGATTCGTGGCATGTTTGGAAAAAAGTTTTAAATTTCCTTTTACAATTTTTCCTCTCCTTTTGTTGTTTTGGTTCCTCTAATATCCGGTATGTTCGGTGTGTATTCTTTAAATATTATTCATAGAAAAATAACTAAATTCCTTCGAAACTTTTGGGTGGAATTTTAAACTTTTTTATTTTTTTGGGTTGAACTATCTTTATTGTGTGAAATTGTATACTTTTGTGGCATAGCTACATATTTAAAGTCCATATAATTGTTTCGCATGAATTCTTCACTGATTTCATTCATCTTGACTAATCTAGGTATGGATGAGAGTTTAAATCACTAGAAACTTCCATATTCACATAAGTCAAAGTTCCTTAATCTTTATTGACTCGTGTCTTCCACAATCTTTACCATAAGGTACTCATGATTAACACCCAATTCAAACAATTCCTTCAAAACTAACCTAAAGGAAGCAGCATCCACAAAAAAAAGCACTAAACTTTCGAGAGTAATTGTAAGAAAACTTTTTATGAATTTTAAATTTTTCCATCACAAAAATAAACGAACACAAGAAAATATTTCATTTCTCAAACTCTTAGCAGCATATCTTTAGCTCCTTATAAGCTACTTCTTTTCATTTCTAATTCCGTTTAAATTGCAATTGTAGTTTTTCTTCATCAACATAACAACTATAAAAAATTAGTACAAATGAAATTTCTTAACCTTCTTTGTAGTTTGCTACTTGCTTTATCGTTCTTGTGAAGTTTGAGACTCTAATGGTTTGGATTAGGATGTTTTGAGGCGCATTTTTGGATGAGAATTGGATTTTTTGTAAATGTTAAGGATTAGATGGTTAAGGTCGGTTGATAACTAAGTGGACGCAGACAACGATTAAACAACAATCTACAGCTCAATCTCTTTCAAATCTTCAATCCATTTTTCACATAAAACAAAGCTTCAAAAAAGCAAGCACGCAGCATACAAAAAAACATCTTCAATTTTAAAATTCTTAAGCAAATATTATTCCATCCGTAAAGCAATTCAAGATGCATCACAAGAAGATAGTTTTGTTATTCATATGAAATAAGAAAAAAAAAATCTTGAATGTGTATAGAATCGTAGCTAAATTTAACAATTCATGTATGTATGCATAGCATCCCGTACAACATGAAATGGCAAAACAATATTAAATGCGATGCAAAGAAGAAATTAAAAACTTTTTTTTTCTTTCTCATCGGATTTTTAGAGAAATGAGGCCTGACTGTATATTCTACGGATGTATACCACGTATAGTAAAAAAAGTTACTCTAGATGGATTAGAAAATGGAACAACAAGAAGAATGAAAGCACAAAAAATTCGAATAAAAGAAGAAAACTTCTTTTTTTTTTCTTTTGTGATGTTTCGAGAATTTCAATTTGCAATGGAAACAGAAGCAAGCAAAAGCAGCAGAAGTAGAACATAAGCATCAGCTTTTTATATCATTTTAGTGAGAGAATGAAGTGACTACATAGTACCATAATAATATGTGTATAGATGATGTAGGAAATAGAAATGGGGGCAATTTTCGTACTTTAAATATGATGCTAGCAGACAGACACATGCATAGTGTATGAGTAGTATCTCATCTCGACGAGCGTTTTGGAGTCACGTAATATGTTTTATATGTTTCTATATCATACATGAACGTCTAGAAAGATGAATGAATCGTGGAAGAGAGAAGACATTAAATGTATATAAAACACTGTTAATTAACTTTTTACTATGATAGTTCCTAATGTTCATATTTCAGCATAAAGTTCCCATGAAAGAACGTTTTCTGTTGTCGACTATTTTTATTATTGAGTTAAGCATCTCTCCATCTACAGCAACAAAATAGCCTTGGAAATTTCAGGTGTAAATATATCAAAAATTCCTTCAACCTTCATCTCAGTTTCTTTAATAAAACTTTTCCTTCACAATCTTAACTTTCATCCTGACTTCCCTTGCCTCCCTTATTCTTGTTATTCTCTCAAATATTTTTCCAAATAAAGCAACCTTCATACCGCTCCAGCTGCTTTGGAATTCAAAGTTCATAATTTTAATTCTCAGAAAAGGGATTTTTTCCAATTTTATGAACCGTGCATCATTACGATGTTTACTCTTGTACATTCTTTCATCTTCTTAGTCTACAGAAAATTTGTTTTTCGGGTGAGAATAGCATGCAAACATGCTTAAGTGTCGTTTTGAAAAACGATTATGTTGTTTCATTAATTAAGAATTTTTTGCACGTGCCAAAAAAAAACGAGAGAGGAAATTTCAAGGATGATAAATTTTTGTTTTGTGTCATGCTATTGTCTTGTTGGTGTGAAAAACTCTTGATTGACTTAAATGTAATTTCCTGGATTTGATTCTTGATACATAGTTAAAAATAGAGCAACAAACATTCAATTAAAATGAATTTCAATAATAAAAGCACATCCCAAAGAGAATCCAAGTTCGTAGAAAACCTAAAAATCCCATTCCATACTTATTGAGCTTTATTTAACTTGAAAATTTACAATAAAAATTCCATTAAATCAATTTTTAAGCTCCAATATTCTTTGTGCTTATTACTCACATATTTGAACTCGTAAAATTTACTTTTGATCTTATTTGAGTATTTCATTTATTTGAAGCTGAATTGCAGAAATTGATTTACAAACTTGATTTATAAGGTCAGCATTTATTTTTGTATGATTTATTTGAATTCAATTTTACATCGAAAACTTCTGAAGTAGGGGGCAGTAGAATGTTATGTAGCACTTGATGACCATAGGAAGGAAAGTGATCAAAAATGTATTGAAGAAGTGGATTTTGAATTGTTTTGTTTGAACTGTTTTTTCTCGATTAGTAGTTTTGAGTTTCTCTAGCAAAACTCCAGGTCTGGACGCATCTGGTCACATAATCAGAAATGGGAATTTTAAACGATACAGAACATCTGAATGACCCATATTGAAATTAACATTGATAGCATTTTTCAAGCAATTCATTGAAAATATCCCATTGATGAACTGTGGAAGTTGGGTATGAAATTTAATAATTTTATTAAATCAGCTCCTGCATCCCTATGAATTCTTCCATCTCATATTAAAATCCTAAGAACAGAAATGAATCTACAGTAAGTATATTAAGTTTAGTGCGAAACACAGCACGAAAACTCCCTATCAACTCCTGTTCATCAATTTTCCAAACCCCGTCTACATTCCATCTCAACAAAAAAAATATCAAAGGAAAACAAATCCCCCTAAAATATACTTTGCCTTATTATTTCTAAATAAAATAAAAATAAAAAAGAAGTGAGGAAATATGAGAAACCCGCAATATATGAACATACGGTTTATAGTTGGGGATTTAACAGTTTATTTTTTCTTCCCTTATTTAAGATGCCTGAAAAAATGAATACGTTTGTTTAATACACAAAAATTTATTCTTAATGGGATGGAAATCTTATTAGAATTTATACATCATCAGGAGGAGACATAACAGTAAAACAACATAACTTGATATGTTTCGATTTAAGGATTCTTTTTTTTTTTGTGATGCCTTGAAGCTGTTAACTCCCTCGACAGTTTGTTTTCTTTGTGAGTTAGATACCTTTGTAGATTTCAGGGTTGAGAGACAGTTTCTTGAGCTATCGTCTCGTTTGCTATGTTAAGTATTGACGCGAAATGTTATCAATGATTGGGAAGATGTCTTAATCCTAGTTAAAAGCCATAAACACACTTTTGTCGAATGATAAATAAACAACAATCGACAGCTGCTTTCTATGCATATTGCCCAACACTGACTTCTTCAAAAAATGGAAATGTTTCCTGTTTCCATTTTCTATCCATACTCCCCTTTTTATCATTTTCATCTCAATTGTTATTTGTATTGTTTCTCCCACTTTTGTATTTTCTTTCTATTATTTTCAGCCTATCCAAATTTAAATTTGAATTGCATACATATGATGACAATATCAACTTCCAATCTCTTTCAAGTTTTATCCAATTTTTTATCACCTCATTCACCTGCTTTCTTCTTGTTTGTGATATGTGAGTAGGAACACGTGTGCTGTTCGAGAAAATTGGAAAAAGGACAATTTTCAATGATTTTTTTCTTAAAGCCATACCAAAGCCTCAATGTATTTTAAATAAAATGGAAAAGAATTGACAGGCATGGATTCTGTTGAGACTTTCTTTTTTTATTCATGTTGAAAATCCCTTTTGTGGATTCTCTTCCTGGGATTGAAATCAGAATAAAAAGTTTTAAGGAAAAGTTTACATTTTTCGTTACTTGAATTAATTTTTTCAGCTTCTGACCTTACATGGATGTTGAATAGGAAGAAGCTCTATGAATATGAACGTCTTCTTATGTAAATTTTGTATTCTGTTCGTTTTTCATTTCACATCATTCCTATCTTTTTGTTGTCAGATATTTTTTGTTACAGTTCTTTCCATTCTTCTTATCACGCCAATTTGAAATGTGTCAAAATCCTCATCGCATTGCAATGATTTCACATCATCATCTCATCACAAAACTACATGTCGCTTGCAATTTGCTTTATTGTTGGACTCGTTCATAAGTGATGTTATGCTTTTAAAGAAGAAGGTCTATTGGATCTGAGATTGTATTTAAGAATCACCCAAAAAATGGGTTATGAAGTACGTCATTTGTTTTTATACTTCAATTCTGAGCCTAAGATAAAATGCATATTAAGTATTAAATGGAACTTTATAGTAATCAGTACGACGTTTTGTTTACATTCGATCGCAGGAAAGTAAGTGATTGCTAATTGGTACGATAAAAATTAGCTCATAAAGTTGATTCATGATATTTTAAAGTGTAGTAGTAGCTTGCAGAATATATGAAATGAAGAGCTATAGAAACGATTTTATTGCAACACAATAAAGTAATAATTTTCATTTAAAATCGATTTTTCAAGCCAAGCAGTTCAAAAGTTTTAGAAATAATAATGAAAATTATTACTGGATATGCAATAATCTTAGGATTTTTGATACCTTTCGGCTATTGCTACAATATCACAGTTTCACGAGATCCTTATGATAAAGAAGTTTACAGATTCGTCAAAGAGGTTATCAAGGATTGGAATCGAAAACACATTAATGACACCAATGAAATAAGCATAATGAACCTGGACAACGACAAGTCATTATTTGACATAGTTAGGCGAGCAATTCCAAAAGAAAACCCTATACTGTTGCCAGAAAATGGATGTAAAGATTTTGCAAAATATTCAAATCTAAGACAAAGTTCGATATTCATAATTATTTCAAAGGTTATTGGTGACATAGTAAGTATGTCTTTAAATCTTTTAAGTTTTTAATTACATTAAAAATTTTCATCAGCAATATTATGTAAATCAGCTTCATGGATGCATGGACTTTGGTTTTTGGACACCATTGACAAATACTTTAGTAATTTTTCCTGTAGATGTCCATCTAATTGAGGACTACCAATGTGTTTCTCAAATTTTAACTGGTTCGAAAACTTTAAACTACGTCATACCATATATTCATGCAGGAAAAATTACTAATATCTTCAAAGGTGACATTCTGTTTAAAAAAGTTGATGTAATAAGCTTCACAACTGATACAGACCTCCTCTTTAATGACAAACTATCGAGTATGAATGGTTACGGATACACAGCAATAACATACACACAAGAAATGTTAAAAAACAACAAGCTTTTCATGCCTGAAGTTTTTCTATTAGAAACAATTGCTAAACAACAGAATGCATATGTTAATCGATATGAACAAAACTTTACAGGACTTAAGGAACTTGAATATGTTGTTATGCAGGCAGTGGTCGATATGATTGTTAATTTTGGATCTCTTTCTAGTTTTTTTGGAAACAAGAGTCTTCCTAAGTCATTTAATACTTATGAAACTAACGGTTATTGTGCATTAGTTCCGATTCGACTGAATAATGAGGCACTGATTAAATACTTTATTAAACCTTTTCAAAAAAGTGTTTGGTTTATTCTCATTGTTGCTGCTATTTTGGTCGCATCCATATGCGAGCTATATCATAAGTTGTTGCCTGATAATCAAATGATCCAACGAAGCTACATTCTACAAGCTTTTGTTCAACAACCAATAAAAATTCGTAAAGGGCGCTTTGTGCTAAGGATCATGATTCAAATCTATATATTTTCTATGATCATTGTTGGAAATATTTATCAAGGCGTTATCACATCGATGTTACTAGAACCGATTAAATATCAAAACATTGACAATATCCAGGAACTGTTTTCGATGGAATATGATTTCTACAGTGATGTTTTGTTCGTTGAAGCTTTTCAAAAATACGAGACATTTTCGGAAGTCATTAAAAAGACCCAAGCTCTTCATGAGTGGCAACAGAATTCAGCATACATAAAACAGTATCAAGATGTTATGACACACAATCCTAATAATGTCCTGATTGTTACATGCAATGTTGTTCAAGAACTCTTAAACACTCAAATTGATCAAAGAACTAAAGCACGTGATGTTTACTTTGAATTTCATCAAAAGTTGGTTATGTATTACGAAGATATCATGTTAACAAGACGAAGTCCATTTTATGACAAACTAGATGAAATGTCATTACGGATGCATGAATCAGGAATAAAGCAACATTGGTCGATGCGTTTAGGATATGACAAGTACAAGACAAGGAATAATGCTGATTCATTAGTTTTAGGTTTTAAGGAAATGAAACCTGTATTTAACGAAGGTTTAGGTGGCTTAATGATTGCTAGTTTTGTATTTCTCCTTGAGTTCTTTAAAAATGCCTTGAAACTGTGTTTTCGACAAAGGATTCCCGAGTAGCACCAACAACAACAACTGGTTTGACGTCGACGTCAAGGCACCATCAAGTAGAAAAAAGCACGTCACGCCGCAAATTTACCGTTATGGCAACGCTAAGGCATCTACACGCACGATTTCGCCCCATTTGAACAATGAAATAATGGGGCGAAATCGTGCGTCAAGAAGCCTTAGCGTTGCCACAACGGTAAATTTGCGGCGTGACGTGCTTTTTTCTACTTGATGGTGCCTTGACGTCGACGTAAAACCAGTTGTTGTTGTTGGTGCTACTCGGGATTAAGAGATGCTTTAAATGTATTCAAAAGTATGTTCATAGAAAAGTTGGACCAAGATTGCAAAAGATTTAAATAGTTGAAAAATTCAACACAAGATCAAGGTTCTGTTGTGATTTAACTTTGTTTCTGTATGAATTATATGTCGATTTAGAATTATTTTACATTACTATGTCATTTATAGATTCAAAGATAATCTTTGTATTTCTTAACCAGTCATAGCTATAGAAACGATTGATTTGCAACACAAAAAAAAAGTTCTTCATTCATTGCAGACTGCATTTTTCAGGATGAACATTTTATTTGGTTACGCGTTAATTTTGGGATATTTGATATCTTGCGGCTTTTGTTACAACTTCAAAATGTCTAGAGATCCTTATGATAAGGAAATTTATAGATTTGTGAATCTAGTTTTAAAAGATTGGAATCAAAAACATATAAATAAAACCAATGAAATTAGCATTATGAACTTGGATAACGACACGTCATTGTTTGACGTAGTTAGACGTGCAATACCGAATGAAAATCCGATTCTGTTGCCAGAGAAAGGTTGTACAGATGCTGCTAAATATTCAAATTTGAGACAAAGCTCATTATTCATCATTATATCAAAGATACTAGGGGATATAGTAAGTAGATTACGGAGATTAAATGTTTCGAATATCTCAAACTAGGGATCTTAAGCTATCATTAAGTAATTAAATTTTTTTAATTTAACAGCATCATTACTTAAACCAGCTACTTGGATGCATCGACTTTGGATTTTGGACACCACTGACAAATGTTCTTGTCATTCCTTCTTCAAATGTTTTTGGTCTTGAAGATTATCAATTTCCTTCTGAAGTATTAACAGTTACACAAACTTTAAACTATATAATTCCTTACATTGAGGCTGGAAGGATTACAAAATTAATTAGAGGTGACATTCTTTTAAAAAAGGTTGAAACAATAAGCTTGACAGCTAATACAGATGTCCTATTTAATGACAAACTATCGGATATGAAGGGCTATGGATTTACAGTAATGGCGTATACAAAGAATACACGACTAATTATGAAAAACTATAAGTTTTTGATCACTGAAGTTTTACTCATAGAAACGATTGCCAAGACACTGAATGCTAAAATTAGGCATAATAATCAAACAGCAAATTTCAAAGAACTTGAGTCCATAATAAAGCTTGGGAAAATTGACATGATATTGAATTTTGGCTCACTTTCGAGTTTGTTTGGAGATCAAAGAGTACTTAAAGCTGTCAATACATACGAAACAAATGGATATTGTGCACTAGTTCCAATACGACTTAATCGTGAGAATTTGATGAGATTCTTCACAAGACCATTCCAAGGAAACGTCTGGTTTGCTTTGTTCCTTTCAGCTTTGATCGCTTCAATGGTCTGTGATGGATTTTACAGACTGTCTGAAAATTGTATGGTTTCAGGAAGGTACATGATTATTGACATTATGATGGCATTCTCTCAACAATCAGTTAAGATTCGTAAGGGACGATTAGTACTTAAAGTTATGCTTCAAATCTTCATATTTATGATGATTCTCATCGGTAATATTTATCAAGGTATGATCACATCAATCTTGCTTGAACCAAAGAATCAGCACAATGTCAATGATGTCCAGGAACTGCTATCCATGGATTATGAATTCTACAGCGATGCACTGTTCATTGAAGCTCTAAGAAAACACGAGTCAAATCTTCATATTATTGAAAAGTCTAAAGTGCTTAAGGAATGGCTAAAAGGTTCAAAATACGTCAAACAGTACCAAGATGTTATGACTCAACCCCCAAATAATGTTCTGATTGTTGTATGTGACATGGTCCAGGAGCTTTTAAACACAAATATTGATGAGAGAACCAAAGCACGTGATGTCTACTTTGAGTTCCACAATAAGCTGCTTATGTATTATGAGGATATTGTATTGACAAGACGAAGTCCATTTTATGAAAAATTAAGGAAAATGTCATTAAGGATTCATGAGACAGGAATCAATGACAAGTTTAAGTCAAGTGATAATTTAGAATCATCAATGTTAAAATTGAAGGAAATCATGCAAATATTTAGAGCCTATTTTCGTGGTTTATTTATTGCTAGCTTGGTCTTTTTTCTTGAGTTCTTTAAAAATGGCTTGAAATTATTTTACCGTCGATGGATTAAGAGATGCTTTAGATGTATACAAAAATATACTCATCGTAGAATTATTCCAAGAATGCAAAGAGTTTGAAGCAATTGATGAGACTAATGGCAACATTTTGAGAGTATGATTGGGATGAGGTCAAAACCTTTGCATAAACGTTTAATGTTGATGCTAAAAATCCGCTTCTGTTATCTTGAATCACTGTTATGCCAAAATTTTAAAATATTCATGTTAAGCAATTGAGATAATAGTTTCATTATACTAGAAAGAAGAAAAATTTAAATATTCATTGTGATTTGGATGCTACTTTTATATTAGAACAATGACATGCACAAGTATCTTAAGGAGTGAACGAAAAAATAAAAAAAAAACAATATTTTGGTCTGAAATTATTTTTTTCGTTTAAATTTCTGATTTTTTTTTCTAATTAAATAAATTTGAAATCAGCTTTAGTTTAGAATTGGACTCATTGTGATCCTTTTTGATCTCATGGCTCCATTCCTAAAATTCTTAAAATTGAAATTTGATTAGGAAAATATTCTTAAACATTGCAAATCATGCATTACTGTCTACAGAAATTGCAGGGTAAATGAAATATTGCAGACATCATTCTCAACATATCCTGCCTTTTGTTCCCCATTCGATAACTTTTAATGATGGTCAATGAATTGTTCATAACTTTAAAAATCTGAAAAATCAACGATCCGTGATTTCGGAAATTCTCATTTTTTCACTTTTTGCCATTTTCAAATGGTCTTCATGCTCTTATTGCCCTTTTCCTTACGAATCATTTTATCTATAGATTTATTATTATTATTTTTATAGCTTTGTATTCATGATGGAGATTCGATGTTGAGGAAAAATATAAGGAATAAAAATTTTTGTTTCTACATGAACGTCTGTTTTATGATGATTTTTATTATGTATAAGAAAATATCATTGTTGTGGGTATAGCAAGTGAAATTCGAGACATCAATTTGCATACAGAGCGCTTTTCTTCGTCATTTCATAAATGTTATGAGTTTCTTTTTATGTCTGCGTACTTGAGATTGAGAAATTTAGGAAAATCGAAATGTTTAGAACTAAAGACTTACTTTTGTTGGAACTAGCATGTATTGAATGAACTAGTCTTGACAATACTATTAAGATGCCACCAATGTAGGTATTGCACTTCCCGACCTACCTGAATCGATAAGAATGCGGAAGTATCAAAATTTATGAACTTTAAAACCATAGAAATTCAAAAATTACATTTGATTGCCACAAAACTTTCATCGCATTTCAAAACACAGGTTCAAAAAAATGATGAATCGCCAAAATACGTTTTCCACATAGTCGAGTCCATAACATGCACCGAAATGGAGAAAAAAATATGTTTCGATATACAAAACCACAAGAAAACATCATCGATAAGCCTTGAATAAATTTCTCCGCAATTGAGTACGTTCATTGAAGTTAGTGATGAAGCCATCGATCAAATAAACGAAAACAAATTTTTGCTTTTTTTGCTATTTTTATTTTATTGGATTATAGCAATGCTATCATACAAATGATTCCTTTTATACACAAACCACTTAATATTCAGACTATCGATTAATGAATTCTTTTTTTCGACATATTTATATTATTGTATGGAAACATTCAATCGTCCAAAGAACAATGCTGATATGGTAAAAAAATTAAAATTTATATTTTTATGAAATTAAAAGCCATTTCATGCGGACATTTAATTGCTTTCCCCCATTCATAATTTTTGTGTCATTCTCTCGTCGTTCACATTCGATCGAACATATCGATTCATAATTTCATAAATTGAACGATGAACAGGCAGGCATAAAAAGAGGGAAACAAAATATTTAACGAAATTTGAGTTGATTTTAAAGTCATTAATAACACAGCATGAGATTGTTTAAGGATAAAATTTTTTAATTTCTGTAAAATATGATGAACATTGAACTGTAACTTGATGGTGTATATTTTTAATGAATATGTTCATGTCCATGCATGTGATACATAGATTAATAACGTTCCATGTTCATGTTGTCGTTTCCTCATTTTTTAATATGTCTAAATTAATTGTTGAGTTGGTTACACGATGCGGGAAAAATGGTTTAACATGGTATAAAATTTTATAATGATTAAGGGTTTGACATGAAAATTTGGGAGGTTTTTATGAGGTGAGCTATAGATTTTGTTATGGAAACGGGAACAAATTTGGTTTTTATTTGAAATTTGAATATTATTATTATTATTATTATTATTATTATTATTATTATTTATTGCTCTCGTTTTTCTTTCCTTTCACAGGAAAGTGTGCTGAATAAGTTAAATAAGCTTAAATAAACTTAAACATTTATGTTACAATTTATTAAGTTCCAATAATGTAATCTATCCAATTTAAATGAAAAATGAGTATGAAGGAAGCATCAAAAAATATTTTTATACTGCATTAATTAAAATTTCTCTTTGCAACTTAATGCCATACTTATCAGTATTCAGAATTAATGCTGAATAATTTTCATCATTATTTAAATTAAAAATTCTCTTTAAATGATTAAACAGCAATTTGATCTCTTTTGAATCAAACAGATTCTTTTGGTTGAATTATTAAAATGTTTTGTAATAAATTATCGATTATTGGTTCAGTTTTTTGGTAATTTTTCCTGGTAATGTTACTTAATACTTTATTTATCTCAATATGATCTGATTTCAGAATACTTAGAAATTGGTAATTGATTTTTTTCGGAAGTATCAAAATGCTCAAAAAGCTGTACCATTCAAAAAGTTCGTGTATTGACAAGGATATTGAAACTTGACAACCTTTATACAAACTTTTTGGGATTATTTAGATGCTGCAGCTGCTGGTTTTTCAATATTAAATGTAACAAAACACAAATTGCATAATACTTCAGCCAATTCTCAACTGGACTGGCTTAATATCCAATCAAAAGTGTTAATTTTACACCTTTTCCGGTTTATCAAAACATATTCGTAATGCTTATTAGTATCTTCCCAGAAGGAAGCGTTCATATTGTTAGAGATACAAAACAAGCAGACCTGCAGGACTTAAACAGACACTTCCATTCTCTTCCTCACACTTCCTAGGTGTTTGTTTTCAAAAACAATATTAATTCAAGACAATAATTTAATTATAATTAAGGACTTAATTGGAAAACAAAGTATCACCCACGATGTCAATTATGATTTATGAATATTAATTAACTTAATGACGCTGAATATTCATTAATGATGATAATTGGTGACAGAATATTGATGCAATTAATGCTGTCTACAAAATAAATTTTGATAAATATTTCAAGTTTGAATAAACATTAAGGTGCTTAATTAGGGCATTAATATTAATATTTTGAGCAATTTTGAGAGTTTTTCTTGAAACTGGTTTTAAACTTGATCTCCAAACCTTCTCTGTCGTCGCTGGCTATGCCTGTGACTAACCATGAGTTTAGTTTTTCAGAGAGTTGTATTCTCATTTTCAAATGATTTTGGTAAAAATCCTGAATTTTGAGTCCGAAAATCACCAACGACTAATGAAAATTGTGTCAAAAAAAAATCAAAAGTCCATAAATATATATAAAGGATGCAGAGAGAAGGATGTAAATATATATTTGAGAGTAATCTTCTAAAATTGAGAAGAACCTTCCTCATTTATGAGAAATCTGTCGCAAAAATTGAGAAAAATTAAATTATGGTGAATTGGAAGCATAAAGTTCTCTTTCATTTTCCTACGGGATATTTCATCCCTTAACACTCACAGCTTCCGCGAGAGCAAAATTCCTCTCACGATTCTCTCTCAATTCTTATATCCGAGAGGACATGCGTTGTCACCCTTTTTCATACACATTTTTTTTTCTACTGTTATTCTCACTCACAGGCATGATACACAAACCATATCATATTGAGAATGTTTTTGTTACAAACTTTGACACTTTGACGTCACGACCAGCATTGTGCAAACATCTAAGCTGATGATTTGTGTTCGATGAGCATATCATGTCTTTTCACATTTCTTTGTCTTTCTTATTTTCTTATGATACGCGTAGATATACAGCTCTGGGATGGGTTCTTTTGCTTTATTGCTGTTTATTTTTACTAAAACAGCAATTTTCTCACACTTTGTTTTGGAGTTTTGATGAAAAATTTTAGGAGCTTTTATGGGGTGGATTAGCGCTTATTACATGGGTTTAATGTCTTGGATGTTTCGTAAGAAAGGAAAGGATTTTATGGGAATATTTTGATCGGATTTTAGGGACTTAACAACATTCTTAAGAAATTATAATGAAAAGGATTAAATAAATTGAAGATATTCTGTCATATGTAGGTCATATGGATTTAATGAAGAGTAATCGTCAGTTTGCAGTGATTCATATTTACTACCTTTAAGTAATTACTTTCAAGATTTGATTTGATTCCTTCTTTTAACAAACCTCCCACTAGAATCATTCCATTCCCATCTAAATCTCCCCAATCTACAATATTTCACTCACATATGAATATAAATTTTAATACGAACCATTTAGTAAGTAAAACACATTAAACTTCCATAAATCTACCTTTGCATGCCAGAAAACATGATTTACAAAATTTCATCTCTTCCTTGAATTTCTCACTTCCATTTTAATTTAAATAAATTTTCATAAAAGAAACAGAATCAAAAGAATAACTTATTTTAAACTTCCTTAAATTTATCATAGATAAACCTTTTAACAGGGTTAAATTTAATGAAGTAAAATAAATACCAACCCCTGCTACACAATGAAAAATAACAAAGATGAAGGTAGAAAAAGAATTCCTTGATATCAAAAAAATGTGCTTAGTTTTTGGGAAAATTTATCGCACGCCTTTTATTCATTCACTCACTTTTTACTTACTTACCGGGCGTTGAATATAATGAAATGTCATAAATATTCTTACACTTTCTTCATGCGAAACAACAGCTTCAAAGATATGGAAGTATAAAAAAAGAAAATTTAATGCGAATAGAGTGATGAAAATGAGAGACAGACGTGGAAAAAAAAAGATAAGATATGCGGCAAAAGAAGACGGAATGAGAAATTAATTAGATAGAA